AAGGGAAATCTGAATTTATTCTTTTTTAAAGATTTTGATGAAAATTGACGAGTTAAAGTTGAACTTATATTTTGTTCTTACCTACAAATAAAAAAATTTCTGGTCGCTGTTACCCCTTCTTTGCAATCTAAAATCTACAATCTACCTACAAATAATATAAAAGTCTGCAGTTTACGCATTTTGACTTTCGCTTTTTATTTTGGTAACTCGCTCGTTACTCAAAAAATTATTATTTAAGGATATTGCAAAAAATTTCTTCACACAGCTATTGTAACTTAATTGCTGTTGCAATAAAATTCGAGCTTTTCAAGTAATTTTGTTTCTAATTTGATTAAAGTTACGATTTAATTGGATAATTAAGCAATAGAAGACGATTTTCAAATTTTTCAAAGCGCAAGTAGAGAACGTCTTTTTGATAGTGATATTATTAAAATCAAAATGAACAATTGTTTAATTTTGGGGTCATCTAACTTATGTAGAAATAATGATAGAAGAGATTATTGAAATAGATTATTTTTAATAAAATTTAAGTTAGTAATTTTTTAAGCTTGCAATACGTTTTTAAATAATCACTTTGAACCTTTTAGGTTTTGCTTTATTCTTGGAGCACTTAAATATTTTAGAATTCATTTTTTAAAATAAAAATTTAAAAATAATTTGAATAATTCAAAATATCAAATAATTTCATTCGGTACTGAATATATTTTGTCATTTTATGTGCGGGTTATGCATAAACAATTTTTGTATAAATTTAATCTTTAATTTTGCTTGTTTTTTCACATTTTATACTTTTATAAGTTTGTTTAAATTGATAAAACATTCATTTACAAAAAAACAAACATACAGAAAACAAAAAATCCTTGAAATTTGAAAATTATCTCCTTTTCAGTAAAAGTTTGAAAGTTTATTTTAAATTTATGACCATAAGGATTAAGTTTCTTAATTTCTTTTAGTTTTTCTCTTTTTTTTTTGTTTGTTTGAGATTTAAAAATCAAGACCAGGTATTTTTAGACTAATTTATGTAAAAAGGTTATATGTAATTCTTATATATTTTTTTATGTGGCTCAGAGCTATACATATTACGTATATGTATCTAATTTACTATGTTGCACATGTGTGTATATTCATATGTGCATTTGTGCAATTTTATATAGAACTATATATTTTTATTTCGCACTTATCACTTGGCAGATAGTATTAAAATTATTGTTGAACTAGTTTCTGAATTCTTCTTTTATATTTAAAATTAAAATTAGAATGTTAAAAATATTTAAAAACTGAACAATATTACTTAATCCTTTTATATTTTTAAGGATGCAATTTTGACATTGTAAAATTTAGACTATACCAAAAGTTTACGACAACAAAAAAGAATGTGTTATAAAAATTTGCTTTTGTCCTTTTTTTTTTAATTTTTTTTTTTATTTCATTACATTACATTATAAATCTATGAATAAAATATTTTCTGTGAATTAATCTTGCAAGTGTGAATATAAAGGGAAATTATTTTACAATTTTATATGTTGGAGTGTATATCTTATGTACTTGTATGTTGGTGAATGATTATTGAAAGAGAATATTATTGTTCTACAAAAAAATGTAAAATATGTGTACAGTGTGTACAAAATTGTAACTTATATTGAATATTAGGGGTTATTTGATATTTGAGTTTTTAAAGTAAGGGCTACATAGCTTTAAAAATTTTTATTCTACAAATGGATTGTGATTTCATATAATGAACTGTAATACAGGCGAATTAAATCAAAAATAATGTATAGTTAGAGGAAGCCTTAAACTAGTTTTACAACTAAATATTTAATTAAGTTGAATATGAAATAGGGAATGCTTGGGCATGCCTCTAAGCATCAAGAGACTACTATGCGGAACGCAGCAGTGGGGCACTCCAACCTGAGATGGGCAAATGGAATAAAATACAAGCCGACAAGGAAGTTGTAGCCAAGGTTTGACTTCCGATGCACAAAGAAACTGATATCTTCGAAGGAGAGGTTTCAAGACAATAAAAGGGGTTATAGAATAGGCCAGGAGGATGGGACGTCCCGCAAACAGGAGGAGGAAAAAACTGTGACCCACGTGCTGTGCTCAGGTTCGCCACTGGCGAATTCGTGGTACAGATTTCTTGAGTCTTACTTCTTTCAGCAGACTATGGCGAATGTAAATACTAGGAGTCTTGGCCGGTTTCTGAAAAGCACTGATTGGTTCTAATTGACGGAAAAAGGAGATATCCGGCGGCACCACAAGGGCCCCAAATGTCCCAAGTATCCTCTCGAGGAGCCGCGTAAACCTTACCTAAAATACCAAAAAAAATTTTTGCAAAATTTTTTTCCAATTAATAATTTTTGGTTTCTCTTTTCAGAGTGCTCTTTCAAAGTTTGCAAATGGCATTCTGTTGACATAAAAATAACATCGTTTTTTATCAAATCATTCTTCGCTACATAAAATTCCATTTTTATTATAATAAAAGAATTTTAATATCATTAGAACATATTCTAAATGCAATTGCATTAAAGAAAAATTATAAAAAAAAAAATAACATAAGAACAGAAAGAATATTATGAAAGACCAAAAAAACTTTGTCAAAAGTTAATATGCTAATAGCAAACATGTGTTCAGTGATGTTTTAAAATTCTAATCATGATTCAATTTCTTTACTTGTTTTTATAGGTATGTATGTATGTATGTAATATGTATGGATTATTATATGATTTGATCTTAGACAATAACTATGATTTTTCGTAATGTTCACACGTTATAATTCATTTTATATATACACAAATATATTATAAAAGTAGCTTATATAATATTCAATATATTCACGTGTGAAAAAGTTCATATTTTAACTCACATAATAGTACGTAATCATACAATAATACATACTTGTATAATATTATATACATAATACTCTATAAATGATAAAGTGAACACAAAATGAAGAGTTAATGTGAAAAGAAATTTACTCTTATAATATGTTTGTGTGATATAGAATTTTGCATAATATTGTTATAAATTGAAAAAGTCTGATATGGTCAGAACCTAACCGAGCGCATTAAGTAGTATTTTTTGAACAATATACAGAAATCTTAATTAATCTATTCTTATATAACTTAAACTGCTATAATTTTGAATAATATTATAGCAATTTGGTCTCTATCCAAAAATTGAAATAATGGTTCTTAGTAGAGATTGAGGTTGGAATCCGATTTTATGGAAAAACTATTTAGTCAAATTTTAATAATCAAATAGAACTCAAATAATGAAATTCAAGGTATTGCAGTGATATTTTTGATATTGCTGTGATCAAAATTTTAAAATTGACCCCTAATAATAGTTTCCGAACTCCGTTAATTTTGGAAAATTTGTCAGTTTATTACTTTACTATTTGCAGGTGAATAATATAACATTTCGTAAAAATCTGTTGATTATTTCTTTGTTTATTGGAAAAATTTCAAATTCGTTTCTTATATAACAAAGATTCAATTGCTAATTCTTATCTTCTTTTCCCGTAAATTAGAACCAGCCGATAAATATGACAATTGATCATGCAGGTGGCCCGAGATCTCAAATTTTAGACTGAATATAGTTAATTTTCGTTAAAATTTTTTCGTGAATGCTGAAATGCATTTCGTTCGAGGAAAAGCTCGATATATCAAATTAGATGCGATACGATGATAATGCTTCCATTATTGTACCAATAAGAATGGCAAAAATCGGATATGTTAAAATTATTCTTAAAGGGAACATTTACCGAACTTTATATTGGTGTAATAGTATAGAATTAAATTTTTTTTTTTATTTGTGGTTTTAAAATCTTTTATCTTTTAAAGCAGTTTATGTTATAGAAAAGAACTTTTTATTATAAAATTTTTTTTTCTTGGAACCATAATATTAGCATACTATTGTGGTCCTGTATAGTAGTTGTATGATAATGAAGGCATAATCAGTCAGGATTTTGAAAAATTACTACTTTCAATAATAATGACAACATTTTCTTGTATTACATATTTTGATGACACCTATACATATAATATACCTCTGTTAATATTATACAACAAATACTAATGAATTAAGGGGTCTTTGTAACACACTGAAAAAAGTTTGATGAATGAATAGTTAAAATTTAAAATAAAATATGAGATTTATTTGAATATAATTGAAAATAACAATATGATTTTGTGGTTACTTACTTAATATAAAAAGACAAATTGAATTACTGTAGATTTAGGTATTGCAGTAATCTTATGTAAGTGTCATAAGTTATTCAGAAGAAAATAAAATATGCTTATATGTAGGTAAAGCGTATATCTTATCGTAAAACTAACCTTTGTCATCTGCATAATAATATTATACTCTACATTATTGGGGAAAATTCAATCGAAACCAAAATCCAATTTGATACTCCAAATGTTGTAATGGATAGGCTTAATCAATGTTAAATATACAAATTTTTCCGGGGAACTATATTTGTTTTTCATAAATCGAATTTAGTTTAGAGGAATTTTATAAAACACCTTTACGAGTTGTAAACTGTGATGGTTTATTTCGATTTCGACTGGAGGCATATTCAATGTAATTTTCATTATTGAAATTTATTCATATATTGAAAATATTAACAATGTGCTAAAAAACATTTGGAAACTGACTATAGTTGATGTGCTTGATAATTCCCTGTAGTTTATGGCTTATAGTTAAGACATTTTGTGTTTAAAATATAAAACAATTTTTATTTTAAAGGAACCCCCAAGAATATGGTAAATATTATATTCACATATGTATTTAAGTATATTATATAACACTTTTATATTTTTATGTGCGGGTTCTTACATATACATATGTACATATATGAAATTCTTATTTTTATTATTGCTAAAATTTTTAACATGTATTCCATAATAATGCGATTGTATTTCTTTTATAAATACCTATACAATTTGTTTTTTTTTTTCAAACCCTGCTAATACAATCTTTTCTCTTTTGTTATTTAGAATAATGGTGCCCAACAATTGGCCTCTGAAGCAACTGTATATATTATGCTTGAAGATGTTAACGATGAAATTCCATTGTTTACTGAACGTGAACAAGAAACAGTACTTGAAGGTGAACCAATTGGAACGAAAGTAACACAAGTTAATGCTATCGACAAAGATGGTACATTCCCAAATAATCAGGTAAGTGTTTACTAAATACATAATACGAGTATATAAAATAGAAAAAAAGCCAAAAAAAAAAAAAGAAAAAAGAGGAAACTAAAAAAAAATCTAATGCAACATGATTATGCAACATTTTTATTTATGTTTTACATAATATAAAATGTTGTTATTGAAAGAAAAATATTGTAAATATTGTTTGAGGATTATTTTTAGGGTTAAAAAATTTAGTATGGTATTATATAAGGATTATGTTTTGTTAAGGTTAATACAGGGTTCTAACCTTATTCAGGATTATTTTGTACTGAATTTAGGTGCATATTTTTTAAATAAAATTTATTATTTTTCAAATCATTATTAAAGGTGAGCTGTAATTTTTGTTAAGTAGACAATAACTCTAATAAATAATTCTTTCGCCTGAAAAGAACTATTCTATACTATATGCCTACGTGTATGCTAAGCAGTAACACATAACAAAATATTAAGGATCGGAAATTAATTGACAGAGATAAGTTCAAATAATTTAGTAAAATAATTGAGATATTCTATAAGAGAACTTCAAAAATACGATAATGAGTTCAGTCATTTGGATCAATTTTGCTTGCATCTATAAAATCTATTTAACTGCTGTTAGCAGTTTCATCGCTAAACATAGTGCAAATATTAAATTTCAAGAAAATCCGATAATATTTTTATATTTATTAATTGATAAAAAATCTCAAATCAACCCTTAGTGAAAGCACAATTGCAATGATTGATGTCATTAGAAAAACCCATAAATTTTTTTTGACAATGGGAGTCGAAATTTGGATAATTATTAATATACAAATGTGGACTAAGTTTGTTGACGTGCAAAAGTAGAATATGTTTAGAATACATAGGAAGATGATATGATTTAGACATTCCCCCTGTGTCTCGGGGAAAACTCCAAAATTAACCTAATTAACATCCTTAGATCCATTGATGAATTAAGGTACAATGTTCTATATATATGGCTTGAGTATAACTTTAACTTGAGTATAAGTTAACCAGAACAACTGCATGTCCACACATTCTTTAGCAATTACTACTTTAATAATAATAATTTTAATGGCATTTGGTATTTGATTATGACACACTCTGTGCTATTTAAGATAAATTTAAAAAATATATATGTATATTGTATTAATAGTATATAAATTTTAAAGTGCTTAGCATACAAAATAGTAAACGCCGCATACACGTACATGTAATATATATAATAAATAAGTAAAATATAAAAAAATTTTACTAAAATTCTCAAATTTACAATAAAAGGATTATATTTTAAAGTTTTTTATTATTTTTTTATTTTCCGTGCGGTATCTAAAATTAGAGCAATGAAATTTGAAAAATAGTATAAGATAATTTTAAAAATTTATATGTGCTTAGGTACCTGAGCAATTTGTGAGTAAACTTTTAAATAAATTTTTTTTAAAAATGTTCATTCATAGTTGAATTTGTAAATAAATATATAAGTTTAGTAATTTTATTACAATTTTACATAAGAGATAATTTAATTTAACAATTTCGTTTTACAAATGAACCATTTAAATTTAAGCTTGGTTTTTCTTTTTCAAAGGTTTAAGTAAATTCTTGAATACTAAAAAAATGTTTTTATTTTTCAAATTGAATGTAGAAATGTTGGGTTTGGAATAGGCTTTTAAAAATTGAATTTTCAAATAAATTAGCCCTTTCTCAATGAACTCTCTTGAGAAATTAATTTTTCTTGGATTTTTTGCTAGAGGAAAGAGCGTTCTCAAAACATTTTTAAGCTTAAAACCTTTAAGGATTGTTTATTTTAGTCAGCTAAGTGCGGTGAAATAAAAGACCTCCTTTACATTCTCAAACTTATAACCTCTTTACATTCAGGAACTAGCTTTTTCCAACGAAGAGTCGAATAAAACTGGCAGCATGACTGTCATGAAAAGGTTGTCGATCAAATTAAATGTTATCGTGAACCGAACTATATTTTTCTTCAAATTCTGATATCTTATGCTTTGGAATAATTTTCATTTGTAACGGAAGCGGGCTACAATGCAAATTATTTTGTTTTATACATAAACCATTTTCTATTTTGTTTATATGAAATTTTCGAGTTCGTTTGCCGCAATATCTGCAACTGTTAGCATTGATTTCTTGTTACAATAACCTCAACAAAACTTGATTATTATTTTATTATTTTGTCGAGATACTTAAAAACCGAGATTGTATATAATTTCCCTATTATATAAGATTTAATTTCAGTTCTCAACAGAATTTATCTTTTCACCTGATTTAAATTTTATTTATTAAATATATTGGAATAAATAATCTGCATATAGCTATTATGCTTCAAATAATAATTTATCCTAGGATACTATAAATTTTCTGATATAAAATAATTTTTTTTATTATAATTGGAAAAAAATTCTCACTTTTTAATTTTAAATATTCACGACTTTTGAGAACGAGAAGAAATTAAAAAAATTTTTTTATAAATATTTTAATTTTTCAAAACTTTTTTCATTTATAAAATTTGAAATTATTTCAAAATTTTGAAATATTTCTTAGAATTCAGTAATAATTTCTTAAAAATAAATTCAGTAATAAGTTGAAATACAAGTAGGTACGTACCTATGTTACGTAATGTAGAAGTGATAGGCTCCATTTTAATATGCGTGTGTATAAATAAAAATAACTTTTATAATAAATTGAAGAAGAAAAACAAAAAAACAAAAAAAAACAAATTTTTTAAAGATTGTCATAATTTTTAAATACGACACGTTTTATAACTTGGTTTAACGGAAATTTACAGGTAAACATTTCAAAAATGATCAACGTGTATATTATTTTTAGATGTATATATATATATACATACTTAATACAATAAAGGTTATAGATACTTTGATTTGATTTATTATTTCATTACTGATATTCGTCCTTTTGGTTTGACATAAGAAATATCAAAAGGAAAATAATAAAAAAAAATTTAATGTGGCCAGCATATAATCGATCACAATGTGTATTGTCTAGTTTAACCAAAGTTATGCAAAAGAATATAAAAACTTCCTTTAAAAATTTTTTTTTTAAATTTTAAAGAAGTAAGCTTTTAGCTAATACGAGTATGTCAAAAAAAATATAAATTTGTAGAGTTTTGCTTGGGTCATCCGAATCCTTTGAAAAGTAAAAATATTAAATCGACTCCCAAAGAGTTCTCGACTTCTGATGCATCTCAAAAGCTGATCAATCCGGGACATAGCCAAAATACGAGTAAACTCATATATAAAATATAATCAAAATCGCTTTAGCCGTACTTGAGACATACGAGTATACATATAGACCGACATCTCTCTGAAAATAGTTCCCTATCATGGAAAAGTGCGTTCCTATCCAAAAACTTGACATCCGAAATTTGATGCCATCGCATAACCTTCCTTATTGTATGCAATGCGGTCGATAAAAAGACTTAAGAAAAAAAAAACATGTTGTAAAAAAGTTTTCCTTTTAAGATTTTAACATTATCACTTATGCAAGTTCAGTAATTTTAGCTTCAAAAGTTATAAAAGAACAAGTCTAACTTTATTACTGAATTTAAATTGTTCTCAATTTTTGTTTTTTAATCCAATTTTAGTTAAGGTTTAAGAAATTTTCATTGAAAAACTTTTATCCATTTTAATTTTATATTCACCATACCTACATATTTGTATATTCAATTTTATTTGTTATACTAGAAAATTTATAGGTATTTTTCTTGAATTCATTTCATTAAGGACAATCGTAAAAATCACTCATTCTGATAAATTTCTAGACGATTATGGCCGGAAAATATTCCTTATGTCACCGATATTTTTTAAAATTTTTTTACAAATCGCCATTATTTTGCTAACCGAATTGCTTCATAATTTTTGTACAAGAAAGAGCAATTTTTGTTATGATTTGCAACTCGGGAGCTTTAGATGTAATTGCACTATTGAGCTGTAGAATTAGGCACATAACCTTTTTGGAATAAAGTGATCAAAATAACAGCAATGTAGTTTATTACTTTTTTCCTGTGATCAAGTGATATGCATTTTTTAGAAACAAATTTTAAGGAACTTCAATTTCTTTTTAAAATTGTTCATTTAAAAAAAAAAAACAAAAAAATATTGAATTTTTTTTTATATTTTTAAATATTCACTTGCATTATTTCACATTCTTTCGAAAATATTGTGGTTTTCAATTTAATTCTCAATTTTATATCAACTTTAATTTTAATTTTTAAGTATAGTTTTTGTGCGTCACACAATTTTAATAATTTTTTTATATTAAACATGGCGCTTATATTTTAAAAACAAATTTAAAAGTTTTTTTGAAAATTGCAACTAATTTCATTTAAGTTTTTTTTTTTTTTTTCTATTATTTCTAAAAATATAAAAATAAAAAAAAAATATGACATTAAAAATTTTTTTTAATTAAATGTGGCAAAATGTTCAAAATAAATGAAATTCAATGCAACATAACTGCAGTCGAGAAAAAACAAAAATCAATAATGCTTTTAATTTCTTAATTATTATTTTTTGTTTCTAATATTAAAAAGGATACGTGAAATTAGAAAACATTCTAAGAAATTGAAATGCATTTTCCAAGCAATTTAGAATTTATGGAAAACAAAAATCGGTGAAAAAGTAAATTCTGATGTTCCAATGAATTTTGTCTTGGAATAATTTTTTCATTATGTTAAAATATTTTCGGGAGCAAAAGATGTGATATGAACAGTATTTTCAAACACGTTACTCAGCAAAAGTTATAGAATCTATTTCAGCGAATAAATTTTACTAAAACCTTGTAATACCAATTTACTTTACGTAAAAATAAACGCAGTCGTGCCCATTGCTTTAATTTTCTAACCATTTTTGTCTTCAAATGAGCATTTCATCAACATAAAGATGAATGCACATTACAACTCTTCACAAAGCTCTTGTCTTCTACACCTTAAATATTTTGACATACTACAATTTATATGCAAATCTGATATAAATATTAATATGCATTGTCCCCATATACTGTACCCATAATATATAATAGGTGTGTGCAATAAGTAGCAATATCCTATTTCAATAGTATTTTTGTATGCATTCTTCTTGTTAGTTTTGGTCTAGTGAACGCTACATTGTGTGCATATACAAGTATTCTGCTCTCAACAATACAAAAATTAATCTTACCGTAATGTAAACAAACTAAAGAGACTTGTTACTGGAAGGGTAATTTTTGGCATTTTTTTGTTTTCTGACCAAATACACAAATGGTTGCGATAAAAATCATTGAAAAAAAAAAACAAGTTAGGTATGATAAGAGAAATAAAATAAAAATGTACTCGGAAGAGAATGAAGATTCTAGATCTCTCTCTCTAGAGAGAGGGGAAAGTATTTTGTAAAATTGAATTATGTAAATTGAAATTGCGACAAGAAAATAACAAATAAAAAAATGAGGCATAAAATATAAAAATATTTAAAACAAAAAAAGGACAAATAGAGAAGAGGTTAAGAGAATAAAATGGTGAGCATAAAATGGTAAATGGTATAACAAATTTAATTATGAGACTAAAATGGTCAATTTTATTGTTCTTTTCCTTTTCCTTTTTCTACAATATTTTATTTTTCTTTTTTTTATTTGTGTTCAGCAGTTGGAATTTTTACCGGTTACCATGGATTTTAATAATTAATTTTTCTTCTCTCTTTCTCTCTCTCTATTTCTTGCTCTTCACTTTTATACTTGTTGTTGTTTTATATTAATAAAATTTATGTTTTTGTTGTGTTCTCTTTTATTTTATATAAATTAAATCATAGGTTCTTGCAAGGACATTTTAATGTTTTAAATTTTTCATTACATTCTATTCTTGTTTTTTGTTTTGTTTGAGAATAATAGTAATATAAATTCAAATGAATCAAAAGTAAGGATCCTAAAAAGGAAAACAAAAAAAAAAAAATAAAAAAAATAAAAGGATATCTACATTAAAAGGTTATAAATAAAAATTTTATTATATTAAATAGATTTTTAAGGATTCGTTCTTTTTTCTTTTTCTAATTTTGTTGTTCTACCCAATAACAACAAAATGTTTAACAGGATATTTTAAAGGTTTTTGTTTTGTTGAAAACTTAATAGAATAGGACCCTCGTGAATAAAATTTTATTCTATTCTACTTTCTTTTTTTTGTTTTTAATGAAATGTTTTTGCTGCTATAAAAGAAGTTCTCCAAAATTAATGAAATTTGTAATGCACAATTATAAAGTTAATTTGATTTTATGTTTTCTGTTTTAAACATAAATAGCATATCTAATACATTTAATCTTTTTTGTTGTTATATAATAGAATACAAAATGGTAACATACCGAGATTATCTAGGTGTGTGTATACACGAGCGATTTCAATTTTATAATAAAATGCTTGTTATTTAAGTTGTAATCGTAAAACCTTCCTTAAAAAGGAAATTAAAAACTTTTTTTTTTTTAATTGAGTAATTTTGATATGTTATATTATGTATTTGGCAGCGCCTTTATTTATGCATTAACAAGTTTATCATTAAAGATAATTACACTTTTTGTTTCTTGTCCTTTAAATTGTTTAATTCTGTAATTAAAAGTTCAACATAAATTTAGCACATATATAGGAGTAGTGAAAATTGGGTTATAATAAAATAAGGGGTTTGTCTTATTAAAAATTTGTACCTATATATGCAAATAAATTGATTTAAGAATTTTGATTGAAGAATATCATAAATTTCAATGCTTAATATTGTGTTTAATTTTAATTGTTAATAATTAAATATTATTGATTATTTCATAAATTTTTGAATTATAAACAATAAAATTTTTTACTATTTATTTTTAATAATATTTACAGGTTTACTATTATATTGTTGATTCACCACGTAATGAAGGTAAAGAATTTTTTGAAATAAATCTTCAAAGTGGTGAAATCTTTACAAAAACTGTATTCGATCGTGAAAAGAAAGGAGCATATGCATTAGAAGTTGAGGCAAGAGATGGTGCACCATCGGCCAGACCAAATAGTAATGGACAACCAAATTCAGGTAGGTGTACAATTATTAATTTCAATATTATAATTTTAATATATTGTTATAAAAGACTGAATATATTATTTTGGAAATTTTATTTAAAAAATATTTAAACAAAAATTTAGAATTTAAAATTCGTGCTTATTTTTTGTAATAAATGAGATTTCTTATTCTTACAAATTTAAAAATAAATTCTATTGTAATTTAATATAATTTAATAATATTTTAGAAATTCAGCCACATTGGAAATTTCAACTAGTTTAGTAACTAATTTTAATTCCGAAAAAAATGAAAAAAATTTTTTAATGATCATTGTTAAATTATTAGCAAATTTAGAAATTTGAGTATAAAGAACCCTTTTATCTATCTGAAAAGTTATCTTAAATTCATTTTTTGAAACCTTACATATTCGAAAGCCATATTATTAAATCCCATTACTTTTAAGTATAAAGTGCTAGTAATGAAGATGATTTTTTCATTCTACATAAGAATTTTCAACAGTTTATTTATTTTTATGTATATGGGTATAATGATGTCGAATTTTTTTATGTAATCACAGTAAATATATAGAGGGAAGAAAAAAACAACAATATACAAAAAGATCTTAAAGAATAAAACATGATAAAAGATTTAACAATTTTTGATACAATGTAGCTTTGGGGTATACCAATGAAAAGGATATAAAGTTTGCATGTATAGGCAAAACAAGGAAACAAAAAACATTTTTTTTTTTACATTTCTTTTTTGTCCATATTATTCTAGATAGAATATTAATGTCCATAAGGAAATCAAATCCTGAAATGCATATGGCTTTGAGTGAAAAATTATTAAAATTTGCTTTATGACTACTTATTTGTACTCTTTCGGGAATTTGAGCATTGAAGAATTTTAACAAACAAAAAAACCAAACAAAAGTTCGGAAGAATTGTTTGTATTTTTTTTTTTGATAAATTTTTGTATTTAAAAATAAACTACTTTTAGAATCGCATATATGCCTTTTAAATAAAGTTGGGTCAAACCAATGGTTTGTATTGTAGCACTTTTCCCTTCAACAAGTGAAAATTCGGCTTTTAAATACAGTCCATGTATAGCTATCACACTATTATAATTATTTTCATTCATATACAAAACTATTTCTAGGATTGCATATATTTAGGATGACGCATATATGCAGTCTTTGAAATAAAGCAAAAATTAATATAAAAAGGGGTTAACATAATGCTCGATTCTAAGGGTTAATTGTGTGAGTTAAGAAAAATAACTATATTTTTTAATTTCATGGAATTTACCGTTAGCTCTTTGCGTTTATAAAAATTTGGAAAAGCTTGCGGTTTCGGAAATATAAGGTGTCAAAAATTCAAATTTTACGAATTTCAAGAGGTGATAACTTGAGAGGGGGTGGAGATGGAAAAAAATTTTCTTCTAACAAAATGAACTATTTATTAATATCTAAAAGCTCCTAAAATTTCAAGCTTCTACAGTCTGGGGTCTAGAAGAAAAACGACATCAAAAATTTGGAAAAAAAGGACTTTAAATAACGGTAAATTTGAACAGCCATTTTGTTTTTCTTAAGTTGAACTATAGTATACCGCGCAAGGGGAAGCAAGCCACTGCCTTTCTGCGTTTGCAAAATTTCAAAAATGCTTATGGCTTCACTGCAACAAATATTTAAAAAAGGCCATTTTTAGGGTTTTGGGGGGGTATAACTTCTAGAGGGACGGAGATAGGTAAAAATTTTGTTCTACGGAAATAAGTTTCTAGTGAAGATCTATGTACGTATTAAATTTCAGCTTTCTATCTTCAAAGGTGTAGAGGTTTTGTAAACAGACACACGGACAGACGGACGGACGGACGGACGGACGGACAGAGTGAAACTAATAAGCACTTTTTTCAAAAAATTTTTTGAAAAAGTGCTAAAAAAGAAGAGAAGCAAGAGAAGATTTAAATTTTTTTCTTTATAAAAATTATTTTCTCGTTATTGGGAAGGGATAACTATAGTAAAACCTGATAAAACTTGATAAAACCTGATAAAATCTGATAAAAACCTTATACATGGTTACTTCTTTGTTTTTTTTTGCAACTAAATTTTTTTTTTTTGAATTATACAGACAGATTGATATTCAGCTTTTGTCTGAATTTTTGAAGGTCTTCCTTTGTCATTATTTTATAAAAACTAAATGGAGATATTGGAATGTACTTACGTGGAAATTTTCAATTTAAACCAATTTTTTTAACACGAAATTTAAAAACCAATTAATTATTTACGCATTGATTGTATGAACGCATTGATTGTATGAATCGTATATTTCTAATAATAATTAGTTTTTTTGTTCATCTATCGATGAATTTGCACAAGAGAGTGAAAATATTTTTGATATCGAAAATTTGAAAAAGCTGTGATGCTTATTTTTCATATGATTAGTTTAAAGTTCTCATTGTAGATCTTTTGTGGAGATTTGTGCAGCGGGCGCAACAGTGCAAAGCGACCCCGTATAAGGATCTATTTTGCGCCCACACCCTCAGTGTACATTCCCTACAACCAGTTTGTGAAACCAGGAAAATTGCAACTCCGCCGTCGTGATTGCAAAGCCCTCCTTTTCCAATGAGAGAATGTATCGCATTCCGCCAGACGGTGCACTGAGGTCTCCTTATCCTTCGAACAGAATCTGCAAGTGTCCCAACTTTCCAGGCCTCCCCAGTGAGAAAACTGATCGACTCCTAGATGATGTTATTTCTCATTTTACTGAAAATTATCTACAGACCGGCGGACAAACTGAAATATGTCTAAAAAGAAGTAGTCATTTGTTACGTTAACATTTTACCGATTCCAAAAGAAGGACCACTACGCTATTTATATTGCAGTAGAACAAATAAGAAACCATCAAACTATTAAAATTTTCACGCACATATTGTGCACTATTATTAAAAACTTTTTGTTTTTTCTAATTTCCCCTGAGAAATTTGATTTGAAACTCGATTGTTATTGTGAATTTTAAATTTTTTCTCACTATTTATTTTACCGCAGATATTTTTTACTCAACATTATTCTAAATTTCAACTTTGAGTACATTTAAAAATTTTATTTTTTTTTTTTCTGCAATTTTTTTTTTATGACTTCAAATATAAATACTTAATCCATGGGGTCAATTTAACTTAAAAATAAAAATTATATTTTAAAATTTAAAAGATTCACAAAAAAAAAAAAATAGTGAAAGCGTTTTTGCTTTGTGCTTAACGTTTCGAGAATAAAAAGGTTAAACATCTTTATCTTAATTTGTTTTTGTTCATGACGGTCGTATCAGCTGCGGCTCTCTCTCTCTTCACTGTAAACAAACAAGAAAAAAATTTAAGTTCAAAAAGACAACTTCTAATAAAATAATGTGGAGGTGCTATGCCATGCCGTTTTATTAAAATAATATTTAGAAATTTACTCTAGTTGCTTTCAAAACAACAAAAAAAAGACCTTCTCTTCGTTCTTTCCTTACACCTTCTTCTCTTTATATGTTATTCTTGCATGTTGAAATCGCTCTTGTTTTCCATCGGACACAATACAAGATTTTTTTTATGAGGAAAGAAATTCGTGGAAAAGCCCAGAGTAGAAATGGATGCAAAAAAAGGAATTGTATGAAAATAGAAAGAGAATGCAATTTTATTATTAAAACATAATACTTTTGAAACCTCAAGGATATTTTAGTGTCACTTTATGTTTATGTTCTGAAAAGAAAAATGTCAAGACAATTTTGCACAAAAAATGAAAAAAAAAAGAGAAGAATATTTTTGTTGTTTTATTATTTTTGGGTTTTTGGTTCTGCTATCATTTGTGGTTTTCATCCGTTCGCTAGCAGACCAGAAAATTTCATATTAATTTTTGGGTAAATGTTAGAGTAAGAACTATGTAAATGACTTCAAATATTGCGTAATTGTGATTTATTTTTGTCTTTTTTCTTCTTCAAAATTTTCAAAATTTTGAATCGATTCATTTAATAAGATTTTGATTTTAAAATTTCAACACAGATTTAGTTATTTGATCCAAATTTTAATATATAATAATTGTTATTTTTGGATAATGAATTCAAAATGCTAAATATTTAGTTTCATTAATTTTGAATATTCAGACTTTCTTCATTCAAGACATTATTTGTTAGATTTGCAGTATTATATTAGACACGCCACCTGCATTTAATTTTTGGTGCGATGGAGTAGCAAACGTGTCAATTTAATATTTATAAAAAAAATGGAAAACAATGCATAAAATATTCGAGAATTCAAAAGCATTTTAAAATTCTTCATTTAAAATTTAAAGATTAAACAAGTGTAAAGACTTAAATTACTATAGACGGTATTGAAATAAAACCACGAATAAATAATTTGTCTAGGAAGGCAATTGGAAGGGTCGATCTATATTTCTAATTTCTAAATTAATTGCAAGAGAGAGAAAATATTGTTGCATTTTAATAATTCTTAATATTGAAAAAAAAATTAAATTCATGAGTAATATCTGATATAATTCATGAGTAATGCTTTAGCTAACAAACGCACTAGTTGGTATAAGTTGAATTAGTTTTTTGTTTTTCTCTCTGCATACAAAGATTACTGATTTAAAATCGAGAAAACCGGAGCATTTAATTAATCAGTTCCCAATTTTTGACAGGACAATCTAAAGATAGGTTTAAGAACAAAGAAATTTCTCTTTGTCTGATATATATCAAAACTTAAGAGGCTAATTTCAAAAATATAAATATAACGAGAGCAGGGTGGTATATCTTCTTCTATTTGCAATTTTTGATTTATTCTGTAGGTGCAGATCACTGGCAGCCTGCTTTCGAATTACATTTAGATCAAATAAAATGTTTAAAAAAGTGCTATGTTATAGATTTCTGGAAAAGGTACAGAGAAACAGGGCACAAAATAGTCTATTAAGAATATCAAAGTTACGATAGAACCACATAAAAAATCAGTAGAACCGATCATTTGATTTCTAATGAATTTTTACTTTTTTTTTTTCATTTGCTCTT